CAGAGAACCCGACGTATCAGGGCGGTTGTAGCCTTGTCGGTGGTAGCATCGAGTTGCTTTGCGCTGGGCGGAGGCCGTGACTGGCGGATTCGGGAGGAGGGACGGGAAGGGGGGTGAGAAGTCACGGGTGACGTTCGAGACGGGGCGGAGAGGGTTGAGGCTTTAGAAGTCGAGGTCGTGGGATTGGCTTTGGATTGGGAAAGGGGGTGGAGAGATGCGCGCGGGTTGTTTGTCATCTCACAAAGGAATGAAGCCAACGGGTTCACCTAGGTCTTTGTTTCGATGGCATGTGGACTTTACTCCAGTCGGTCTGGAATATTTTATGATAAGCTATACGCGACACAAGATTGATCTAGGAATGTAGACTATACCTTGCGGTTTTGTTTTCACATATATCTCAGTATTCAATCACCTGCTGCTTTTACCAAGTAAACGAAGGCCGTCTGAATATACTTCTCCGACAGTCCAGAATGACGTTGTTTCGCGGCTCTTCGATCCAAAAAAAGAGCAAGCGCATGGGAAACTCAAATTTGTCTTGGCATCCTTCTTTAAATAGTCTATTAGGGTTTAGGGTTACTAGTAAGCCGTGGAATGAGGGGTTAAAGTTATCGATAAGAAAGGCGCTTGTTTGATAGCCGAGATGCGATGCGACGCAGCGGAGGGGAGCATTCTTCTTTCTTTCTCATTTTCCTCATAATCGGCAGGCGGAAGATAAACGAAATATGGCGGGAACTCAGGTAGATAATAGAGTGCCGCTCTGGCTGGACTGCGATCCTGGTTCGTAGAAGAAGACCCCCCTTCTTGGCTTTTCCCAAGCTTATTTCCCCGCAGGATTGCTGAAACTCTGAATTCTAGGGCATGATGTGAGTTCGTGATAGAGCGTGCATACATAGAAAGAGAAGAGAACAAACGGGGCTGAGAGATTCTTGCTTGCTCAGGATGCCTTCGCCATACTCCTATCGGCTCATCATCCCTCGTTGAACCTGCTTGGTATCAGCACCGTCCATGGCAATACGTCGCTAGAAAACACGGTTACCAATGCAGGCAGTATCTTGGAAGCCATTGGTAGATCTGATATCCCAGTTCACCCCGGATCCAAGAAGCCGTTCTGCAGGCCTGTAGTACATGCTTCGAATATTCATGGTAAATATCTTTCCTGTACTTTTCGCGAAACGGTTCTCTAATTATATAATTGTAGGAGCATCTGGCATCGATGGGACTGATCTACTCCCCCTCGCGACAAAGCCGCCAGTCACAGAACCCAATGCGATTGTGGCCATGCGCAATGCGTTGCTCGCTCAACCCAAAGATACGGCCTGGGTAGTGGCCACGGGAACGTTGACCAACCTTGGTCTGCTCTTCGCTACATTTCCGGAGGTAGCGGAGCATGTCCGAGGTGTTAGCATCATGGGTGGGGCCATTGGGGGTGGATTTACCGATGCGCCGATGAGCGGAAACCCCGACGAAGCCGATAGGGTTGGAAACACCACCCACTGGGCTGAGTTTAATATCTACGTAATTTCCCATATACCTACCTACCCCCTTATACACTTGCCTGAACCACAGCTAACCCCAGACGAACCAACACATCAGTGCGACCCCGAAGCCGCCCACTCAATCTTCTCATCCCCCATCCTTGCCCCCAAAACAACCCTCATCCCCCTAGACGTCACGCACCAAGTCCTCGGCTCCAAAGCCATCCAATCCCTGATCCTCCACGGCGAGGCAGGCATCCAAACCGCAGACGGCCCCCCACCAACCGTCCTCCGCCAAATCCTCCACGACCTCCTCATCTTCTTCGCAAGCACGTACAACGAGACCTTCGGGCTTGAATCTGGCCCACCTCTCCATGACCCCGTCGCTGTTGCGGTTTTGCTTTCTAACTTAAATGGGAGGGGAGAGGTTGAGATTAAGGGGAATAGGGATCTTGTTTCGTTTGATGATAATGGGGGGGAGAGGTTCGTTGTTAGTGTTGTGACGGATGGGGCGCATTCGAGGGATCCGGCGATTTGTCGGGAGGTTGGGAGGACTGTTGCTCAGCCTGTTGAGAAGGGGAGTGGTGTGGGTGGGGTGACGATTCCGAGGGGGCTGGATGTTGAGAGGTTTTGGGGGTTGATTGCGGATTGTATTAAGAGGGCGGATGCGTTGAATATGCTGAGAAATTAGAAAGAAGGGTATTTTGGTAAAGCGTAGGGTGGTGTATATACTGTACACTTGATCTATTGTCAGTACATATGTGGAGGATTGGGGCATTTCCGATAGCTTATTAGAACGTTAAAAGATAGATAGAAGAAAAGAAAAGAATTGATCCTCTGGCTTCACGATGAACCTGTCATTTTCGACACAATTTTCAGCATATGTCAACGATCTATTATTTTGAAATTTCCAATTTTGTCTAGATATTAAGAAAATTGAACCCAAGCGACCCATTACCAAAGACCAGACCCCATGAATATCCCCCATTTCTAGATGCCTAACCCATATCCCTTACCACTCCCTAATCCCCCCATCAACTCCATAAAACTCCTTCGGCGCCCACGGCTTCGCATCCTTCACCTTCTCGGCAACCTTCCTAACCTCCTCCTCATCAATCTCAATCCCCAACCCAGGCCCCTTCAACGCCTCCACAAACCCATCCTTGATATTAAACACATTAGAATCCTTAATATAATTCGTAATATCATACTCCCCGGCCTCGGTATTATAATGAATCCCCAAACTCATCTCCTGGATCACAAAGTTCGGAGTTGTCAGATCAACCTGCATACTTGCCGCCAGGGCGATGGGGCCAAGCGGGCAGTGAGGCGCGATGGCGACGTCGTACGCTTCCGCCATGGCCGCGATGCGGCGGATTTCAGAGATCCCACCGCAGTGGCTGATATCGGGCTGGAGGACGTCGACGCTGGCGTCTTCGAGGTAACGCTTTGCGTCCCAGCGGTTGTAGAGGCGTTCGCCGAGGGCGATGGGGCTGGTTACTTGGCTTGAGAGGTGTTTGATTCCCTCGGGATGTTCGGAGAGGAGGGGCTCCTCCAGGAAGAGGGGGTGGTACGGTTCTACGGCCTTCGCGAGCTGCTTCGCCATGGGCTTGTGCAGCCGTCCGTGGAAGTCTAGCGCAGCATCAAGACCAAGGTCCTTCACGGCCTTTAGCCGCTGAACACTCGACTCCAGCACACTCGGGGAATCAAGCCAATTCACGTCCTCGGTGGCGTTCATCTTGATGGCTTTGAAACCCTGCGCAAGGCGGGCTTTGCCGGCGGCTTCCACGTCCCCCGGTCGGTCGCCTCCGATCCAGGCGTAGACGGAGATCTTGCTGCGGACCTTGCCTCCCAGGAGTTGGTGGATGGGGACGCCGAGGCGTCGACCCTTCAGGTCCCAGAGGGCGATGTCAATTCCCGATATGGCGGACATGAAGACCGCGCCGCCTCGGTAGAAACCGAGGCGCCATGCTGTTTGCCAGACTTGTTCGATGTCACTGTGCAGGCGATGTTAGTTTTTGTTCAGTTCCATCCCGCCGTAGGGATCGAGTATGGTGTGGGTGTTGCTATTTTTATGATAGGATAGAGATGGTGGGTTACGGCATACTCAGCTTCATATCCCTGGAAGCGCTTAACCAAGGCATTGAGGGTGCCCTCGACGGCTTCGGTATGACCCTCAAGGGTACTTTCACCCCAACCGTAGTTTCCCTGCTCATCTGTCACCTTGACAAATAGCCAACGTGGCAGCACACGGAAATATTCGATGGTCTTGATTTTCGCCATCCTCGGTTTAATGGGGAGCTATATCCGAGAGCGGGGGATAGGATAGGTAGCAAACTCAATTGAGACTTTTCGGCAATTGGAGACCGAAGATGAAAATTCTCTACGAGAGGTAATTCTGGAGAGAAAGATATGGAGAATTGAATGGGGGAGGAATGGGGTATAAATAATGATAGGAAATAACGTTTGATTTAGAGCGGGGAGGAACAGCGAAAAAAAAAGGGGAGAAGGGCACACAATCTCAATATTATTTTTATATATTTCTTGTTGAGAACGCTCGACAGGGATGAGTATACATGTGGTGAGGATGATGACATGGGAGGAGTGACGAAATATCTCCCTCCAGGCCCGCAAGGTTCCTTTAACTCCTATATCGAGGGAAAAGATTGGTGACTCAAGACGCGACTCGAGGTACAGGAAACGGGTATGGAGTGGATAACCGATGGAAGGGAAGAAGGAAGGACGGTGAGCCGGAACAATTTGAGTTTGTTCCATTTCTTTTCCTGCAAGGCGCATCGGCGCATTTTGGTATTATGTATCTCGGTGATTCAGGATGGTCGCGAGTTGGGATGAGAGAGAGAGAGAGTCCACCAAGAGGAGCGGAGACATGCCTGGGATGACGAATCGAGGGTCGGGGAAAGGACCGGTGGTACCTTCACCTTTCACACATCTACTGGGATCCAACTTGATAGATGATGCGGGAATCCACATCCACTCCCGGTTGGGGCAATCTTATCGCCGCGCAGTTGAAGCAGGGGAGATAGTGCTTATAGGAAGGTTGGAGAGTTAGTTGAACCGTGAATGGTGAGGTCGAGGAAGGAGGATAGCGGTGGATTGACTGAACATGAACACGCAGAAGGAGCATGGATTCTTGCTTGCATGCAGCAAGAGCGGAAACTCTCTCGGTTGAAACTGGGAGGAGCTTTCTTGCTATTCCCTCCAGTCGCATGGCCCGGAAAATACCAATTGGAAGAGTCGTATCGATGTCGTGCTCGACAGGATCATTTATTAGTAACTGGCTAGTCGGCAGACTGACGGGGAATTCTCCCAGCGCCAATTGTACCAATCTCGTTCCCAGGGTACATGTACAGATAGATCGTAACGGCGAAAGATATGTGCGTCAGTAATAGGAGTGATTGCGTGTGTACTGTCTGCTGCGCCGTCTGGATTCGATATTAATTCTTTCAATTTCTTCATCTTCTCAGGTGATTATGGGTCGCGTGGTCGTGCGAAAAAAAATATATCTGCAAGCTGTGAGGTTCGACTCACGCAACTTTCGTTAGTAGAGATTCTATTGTTAGAATAACAACTCAGATCTACCGCCTTAAACCACTCGGCCAAGGTTGCGTCTCGCGAGAATGCCGCGAAAGTTGGTTGATGTTGGGGAAATTATGGATGTGAGAGCTTTTCGTAGAGAATCCGCAAATTTCACAAAACGCTTACAATCGCCCCGAGTCCACGATTGACGGACTTAATACTCGAGATGGCGAGACTGAGTGTCCGTCAGACTGCAGGAACAACTGCAGGAATCCGACTTGGTAGTTGCTGGAGTTGTTTTTGCCCGACTTTCACCCGGCGAGGATGCGAGAGATGTTCCATCTCGAGTCAAGACCATCGTTGGCTACATCCACCTGCTCTCGGTCAGCTTTTCGTGTGCCATGGCGGTCTAGAGTCTTTTATATCTGGGCACTTTATCCGGAGTTCCTCAAAGGGCATGTCACCGGCCTATGAGCGTGTCTCTGATTTCACCTCTGGCTCCAACAGATTGCTGCAGAACAGATGGGTTGGAAACATGTCGCATGTTGACTGGAACCGGCTGAAGCTGTACAACATTCAAAGAGATAAAAAGGGAATAATGATAGGTAGTTTTTCTGGACTTCGACAATGAGACAGAGGGATCTTTCTTTCTTGTTTGTATCTTGAGGTCTTCTGGATCTTTGCCTTTATCAAAGTCGTCTGTTCTCTGATGTTGGATTAAGAGAGAGAGAGAGAGAGAGCGGCACATAGATCTATGAAGATAAGTGGTAGTAGGGTATGGTAAGTATCCAGTACTTGTGAAAAAGCAGAGATAGATATGTATGTTGATGTCACAAGTACATGAAGCGGAGGATGTGCCTCAAAGAATCCAAAACACCAAAAAGAACGACAGCAAGAACCAAAAGAAAGACAAGAAATAAATCATCAATTAAACCAACATCGTCTACTCTACATCTCCTGATCAAATATCATTACTTTCTCTCTCTCTCTCTCTCCTGGTCTACCCTTCATTCTTTGTTCATCACGAGTTCATCATCATCCTTCTTTCTCCCTCTTCTTCCCCCCCAAACCGTGTTCTCTCTTTCTCCACAGCCGAACACTGTCAACTGACTTCAATATCGGGATCTTTCCCTTGAATTTCGCCTTCACCCGCAGAAATCAGCTCAGTCACATTCCACTCTTCTAAAATCCCATCGGCGGGATACAGTGATCCTTCTATCATATTTGAACTACAACCTGCATCGTCCTGCAACTCTGGTTTCACCGGTCGGGTATAGACAGGCCTAGTCCTTCTCCATTGCCCTTATCGTGATCGTCAGAACCCGTCGTCGATCCGCCAGCCCTCAACTGCACCCATTCTGCATCAACTCTACCAGATGGAATTATCTAGATAGCCATGCCACCGCCTGCGAACAATCCATCGGTATGCTACCCACCCCTCCCCCAGTCATATCCCGCATTCCGTGGCCTGTCCGTGGGATGGCGGAGCATGCAGGAGACCTGTCCGCAGCGGGCCAGAAATAGACGTCCATTGAGGTCTGTTCCATACCCGCCGGATCGCTAACCACATATGTAGGAACCACCTGCTCCATCCGCAACCAGCCCATACCTCCAGCAACTGGAAGCAATCTCGAGTCCGGTTCCCGATTTCGCCGCCACCCTCACCAGCCATCCGGAAGACGACGCAAATGACGACAACGTGAACTTCCTCCGCAATCCAGTATACCCTTCCTCCGATCCTCCGCAAGGCCGCGCGCGCCGACGACGCCAACCGTATACGCCAGAGGACGATTGGGATCATCACATGGAGCCCTCTGATAGGCGGAATATCCGCTTGTCGGCCATCAGTCGTCGCATGCCGATTGTCCGTCGACAGCGAGAGGAACCAAATCCAAGCAATGTAGCGGACTACGAGACACATATCCCCCATGCCCAGTCGCTTTACGGTTGGGCGCCAATATCAGATAATGAGGATGATCGGCCGCCGGATTCACAGGCGGACTTCTTGCAGGATCTTTGGTACGGTAGAATACCGAATCGTGATCCTACAAGAGCAGGAAACTCAACACGCGGCTCGAGGCGGGAGGTAATAAACGGACCTCCTCCGTTTGCGGGAGAGATGGCGGATGGTGGTGAAGGGGTACCTGGCGCGGCATTTCGGTATGGGGAGTCCTCGCTCACCACGGCAGCACTGTTGCAATCCGTTCGACGCCACCCAAGGTTCTCATCCCGTTCTCGCACCCTGCAGAATTACATACTAGATCGGGAGAGGAGTGGGCAAGACCCGGACGAGCGGGAAAGAGAGCGACCTACTCCGACGTCAAGAGCACATCGCCCTCGTGGAGGAGAACACTACCGCTCTCACGCAGAACTCCAGGCCCGGATCGACGCGCAACGACAATTATATCTAGAAAACCCTTCGGTAAAACGAGTAAAGGAGATCATCAAGTATCTGGAACGTATCCGCTTCTCCAGGTCGTATGAATTGAGTCTATCACTAGCAGCAGCCGGGGGATTGATCGAGTATGATGGCTTCAACCGGAACGAGCACGATTTCGTCCTCGACACAACATCCATTGGACCTCCTGCGGAATGTTCATGGCTTCAACCGGGCATTGTTTTCTCGGGATCACAACAGGCAGGACATAGCCCCGCCAATCCGATGCTGGGGCATCGCGTCACGAACATGCACCGGACAAACGATCCTGTCATTGTCAATGGAAGCGATACAGGCCGTCTCAGCGTCTATACAGGCAGTGGGCGCCGTTACTGGGCCAATAATATACCATCTGGGCCGGTCTCTCGTGGGAATGAAAGTGGTGGTGATGGAGGTGCGAAGGAAGACGTCTGGCCTGTCCGAGTCACGATACATGATATCGACTACGAAAACATGACACTCTCTGGAACGATGGAAGCTTACAATATACCGGATAAAACCTCAACGTCGCAAGATGCGCATATCGTCACGTTTCTCGAAGGAGAGATAATTGATTTCAATACCCACACACTCGAAACCAAGAGCTTCAAAGCAGACGCAGAGGTTGATAGTACCTACTGGCGGGAACTACAACCATTTAAGAACTTGACAGACGATGAGCTCGTCAAGAACCTCGTGAGCAAGCAGTGGTTAACAGAAGAATTGGCCAAAGGATGGATATTAATGCGGTGGAAAGGTGAGTTGATCAACATCCACTACCCAAGTTTCATATCTAACAATAATACATAGAACGCTGCTTCATCACCCCGACGGACTCCCGCCAGGGACTTACGATCTCAGGATTCTACTACATCTCCCTGAGACGTGATAATGGGCAAATAGATGGGTTATATTACGACCCGGGAAGCTCGCCTTACCAACAACTCTCGCTGAAACCGGAGTTGAAGGAGCAGATGGTATTCCCGGCTTATGAGTTTCGCTGATTTACGGAGGGATATCTAGCAAAAGAGGAGGAATACTTAACCTATGATATCGTTCCCATTCTCCCACACACTCTCTCACCCATACATTCCAACTGTACATGCACCACCATACTTCCCGCCACCACACACTCCGTCCCATCTATCCCTCTATCTACGTTTCTCCTTTGTCTGGCATCCACGGCGCTGTGTGATTTCCCTAGCATTTACGTACGGAGGTTAAGGAGTTTTGTTTATTCGGGATGTTTCCTGACTAACCAACTATCAACTTTTTACTTTACTTTTACTACGAAAGCCCATACATAACATGATATATCAGAGATTCAACTATCTATCTACTTTCTTAGCTATCTTCTTTTTCTCCTCAAACGTGTTATGTGCTGACTTTGCTGTTTTGATTGGGGCGGTTCTTATCAGTTGGACCTTTTTTGATAGCGGGCCCACCGAAAATGGAAGCAAGCAGGCAAGAGAGATAACGAAATGCATGATGAAGTATGAGAGTCCGGTTCCGAGTTTCCGTAGAGATAAGGATTAATTTGTACTGTTCCTCTGTCTGGACCCAGAGGCTTATCTTTTCCCCCGCATATCCGAGAAACCCCTTACAGCCCTTCAAGCATAATACTTACTCATGGGTGAGTCTACGACGATACTGGATATTTAAATATAGGAAGAGAGGAAGAAACTTGGCACTTGTAAAAATATGTCCTTTATTTTTTTGGTATAACTTCCTATCTTCTCTTCCTCTTTTTTCTAGATGGAGAGAAAAGAAACCCTCAAAAGGATAAGAATCGTAATAGAAAGGTTAGAATAGAATAGGTTAGATTGGACAACTCCGCGCAATTCACACATCAAGTTGTCATAAACCATTCGTTCACTCCGCCTTCCATTGTATCGTTCCCCATCCATTGATCTGTGTCGTATCGCTCCATCATTTCGTAAAAGAGGTTGTAAAAGATATCCGTCCGCCGCCATCCCTGACCGTCTAACACTCTAACCGTAGCGTAAAGAGTTTTGGAGAGCGGATAAGATGGTCGAGAGAGGTCGAAGAAGAAGAAGAAGAAGAAGAAGAAGAAGAAGAAGACTGCTGGATCTATTGCTCGGTCTGGAAGTACTCGAGGAGGACGGAACGTTCCTGGGACTCCTCACCCCAGTCACGGACGACGACGCAGGAGCAGTTGACGACCTTGCGGGGGTTACCCTCGCGGTCAAGGACGCCTATACCATCAAAAACAATTAGCCCCTACCCTCCACCCCGGGAAAGCTCGAAGAAGAAGAACATACACAACCCAACCCACTCCCCCAACATCTTCCCATCCGGAACCTTAATCAACGGAATCTTATGCTCAGAGCACAACGCCACCACCAACTTCTTATACGCCTCCTCCTCACAGCTCTCGTTGAGCACGCACATGTGCGCCTGGCGACGATCAAGCGCCTTGGAGGCCTCGCGGAGTCCGCGCGCGAGACCGTCGTGGATGAGGGAGATCTTGAGAACACCCTTTAGGGCGTCGAGGACGGACATGGAGCCGCCGGAGGCGCCGGTGTCGGCGGAAACTTCGACTTCATCGGCGGTGGCGACGACGGGGGTCTCTTCTCCGTCCGACTGTGGTGGTTGTTAGTTTTTGGGGACTTCGTTGGGGGTTTCGTTCGGGGCTGCGAAGGAGGGGGGTGTA